ATCCTCACCTCTGTTGCCGACAGGAACAGCTCCCTGCCCTCCTCTAAGTGACAGCCCTTCAGATACTTCAAGTGAAGCCCCCCCCCCACCCCCCCGGCCTCCTCTTCTCCAGACTAAGCATTCCCAAGTCCCTCAGCCTTTCCTCGTAGGGCTTGGTTGTGGTTAAGAGTGTCAGACTAGGATCTGGGAGACCTGGGTTCGGATCCCGACTCTGCCATGGAAGCTGGCCAGGTGCCCTTGGGCCAGCCACACACTCTCAGCCTCGCCTACCTCACAGGGTCGCCGTGAGGATAAAATGGAGGAGAGGAGGTAAACCACTTTGTGTCCCCCTTGGGGAGAAAGTCAGAGTATAGATGAAGTAAATAAAAATAAATAATAATAAGCAGGGCTATTTTGGGGCTGGAACGCACAGGAATTGGAGTTCCGGCTGGCTTCAGAGTTGGCCAAGCCTACGGCCAAAACCTCTACACATGAAGCCTCCATTGGCAGCTTTATCCTGTTCAGAACACAGAAGATCCTACTGAGTTCCACTGTGGATCTAGGGCCTTTACCACATATTGCCATGGGACTTTAAAGCCTCCACTTGATATTAATAACTAGAGACCTTTATTTTAAAAAAATACATATTGAAACTTGAGCTTCTCTCCGTGCTGAACTTGGCCTGGCACCCAGTAGAAGAAGAAGAGATTAGATTTATACCCCACCCTTCACTATCCGAAGGACTCTCAGAGCGGCTTAAAATCTCTCTTCCCCTCTCCCCAACACATACCCTCTGACGTAGGTGGGGCTGAGAGAACTCTCTTGAGAACTGCTCCTGAGAGAACAGCTCTGAGAGAACTTGTGACTGACCCAAGGTCACACCAGCAGCTGCATGTGGAGGAGTGGGGAATCAAACCCGGTTCTCCCGGATTAGAGTCCGTGCTCCTAACCACGACACGAAACAGTACAAATCCTACAGTCTCCCTGTATTGGTGCAGAATCATGGATTACTCACACAGCCTGGGACCTGATAGGAGGCCAAAGGCATTGTTCCAGTATGGGTTGTGCTCTCTCTCTCTCTCTCTCTCTACCCCTCCGTTAAGATGTTTTTGGAGGGGGAAAGTCTTCATGGTGAGATCCCTTTCCTTCTGAAGTGGCTGAACTTTTTGCGTTAAGAAGTGTTGCTTTGGGGCTTCATGCGTCTGAAAATGAGTTACGCATTTGCTCTGACTGAGCCATCCATGCAGTCCTAAGCAGAGATACACCCTTCTGTATCAGCTTGAGTAAACAAGCTTAGAGAAGGGTAAGTCTGTTTAGGATCGCACTACTGTGTATGTTGGAGCTGCGGTGGCTCAAGTGGTTAAGACGCTGAACTGCAGGCTGTGGAAGGTCGGTAGTTCAGTAGTTTGAGACCCGAGTGCCGCATGATGGAGTGAGCTCCCGTCTCCGGCCCCAGCTCCTGCCAACCTAGCAGTTCGAATGCAAGAAATTGCAAGTAGATAAATAGGTACCACTTCGGTGGGAAGGTAACAGCGTTTCGTGTGCCTTGGTGTTTAGTCATGCTGGCCACATGACCACGGAAATGTTTTCGGACAGCGCTGGCTCTTCGGCTTTGAAATGGAGATGAGCACCTTAACCCTAGAGTCAGATTCGACCTTTTTACTGTGTATCTTATGCCCTCTTTTCAGAGCAGAAATTGGCGATTTTGTGTCTCTTTGGAGACTCCGATGACTTCAGTACAGTACAGTTGTTTACCCCAGTTTGGCTGCTGTTGAGAAACCTTTCTCCCTCCCCTGCTCCTGCAGAACTGTTTGGGCTCTGGCCAGGAGGAGCTCCAGGTTAGCAGAAATCGTAATGATGTGATATGCAAGGTCCAGGTTTGCTTGCAAGGAGATTTTAATAAGCAGTGAACAAACTTGCAGAAATAGCAAGCTAAGCTCCCATCCGGTGGGTCTCGAATGCACACGTGCCAGGGAAGCTGCCATTTTACAGTTTTGTTTACAATTTCAAACCGCTTCGCAAGGGCTCGAAAAAGTCGTCGCCTCACTATCGGCACTAAAGTAAGTCTCTCAAAATAAACTCGCTGTTTACTTCCTCCCTTCCCCCTTGGATACGTTTATCTGTCCATGTGCTTAAGAGGCATCCCTCTTTGCGCTCCGCTTTTCCCACCGCGGGGGGGGGGGGTAGGGTTAATTCATTGTTGGTCATATCTCTGACCTCGCTCACATCATTCGTTATTCCGCTCGATCTCCCACACTTGTCCCGGTCGAATTAGCTTGTGCCCGCAGGCCACAAAACGGCAGGACCGTCAGGGCGGAGGGAAGCCTTGAAGAGGCTAACCCTCAAAAGCCCTCTGGCCTGGAGCCTATCACAAAGGCTCTGTGGGGGTGCCACTTGAGGTAGCACCCCTCCATGCCGCTGGTGTGCTAATCGCTCCCCCGAGGTCCGGGGAGAGCGACCGCCATCACCAATCCACAAACCGGAAGTCCAAAAACTAAGCATCTTATACCCCAAGTGCTGGCTACCAATCAAGGAAAGATTGATCAAGCTATCCCAAACATTGAGATGAGCCAGGCCATCTCGCACCTGGTGTCTAGTGGTGAGAGGAAACAAATCAGGCTTCCTAGGTAAGAGCTGCTAACAAGCATGAGAGAGAGAGAGAAATATTCTTTTGGAAGTGGCCCCTGGCGACCATCCCGTCCCAAATTCAAGACAACTGAAGATCGAAGCACCAGCCTGCAAAGATACTGAGGCTATACAACTGCAGAGTCATACCTTGATATACTTCTTGGTTTTCCCCTGGTTTTGCTGCATTCTTTCTGAAACTTGCTTTGCCCTAAGTCATTTGGGGGAAGAGTGCAGCAAAGCTGGTGTAGCTGCCATGTGGATAGGAAAGTCTGGATCTTTCCTGCTTCTGCCCACCATAAGGCCATTCCGTGCCTCATTCCATGCAGCCATTGCCCCATTTAAATCAACATAAGAACATAAGAGAAGCCAGTGTTGGATCAGGCCAAAGACCCATCCAGTCCAACACTCTGTCACACAGTGGCCAGAAATACCAGGTGTCATCAGGAGGTCCAGCAGTGGGGTCAGGACATTAGAAGCCCTCCCACTGTTGACCCCCCCAAGCACCAAGATGACAGAGCATCACTTGCCCCAGGGTCCCTATCTATACCTTGTGGCTAATAGCCACTGATGAACATAAGAACATAAGAGAAGCCAGTGTTGGATCAGGCCAAAGACCCATCCAGTCCAACACTCTGTCACACAGTGGCCAGAAATACCAGGTGTCATCAGGAGGTCCAGCAGTGGGGTCAGGACATTAGAAGCCCTCCCACTGTTGACCCCCCCAAGCACCAAGATGACAGAGCATCACTTGCCCCAGGGTCCCTATCTATACCTTGTGGCTAATAGCCACTGATGGACCTCTGCTCCATAACAATGGACACATCACACACAGTTATACTGATGTCAATGACTGGTCTCCACCACCACCCTGACGCTGCCTGCTCCCCTTTTAAGTGGAACTAAAGCCTCTTCGGTGTTCTCTGGACCGCACTCCTAGATTCATCCCAAAGTGCCTCAAATTAATACGAGTAGCCTTGGAAGAGTTTTATCGCCAGCATTTGTTTGCTAAAAGATCTCCCAAATGTAAACCTATTCAGAATGTCTTGAATTTTTTCCGACAGAAGTATGTGTAGTCTTTCATACCAGGCGAGGGAAGATGCCGAATTATAATTTTTGTACACATCCTGTGGGCATGCTTTGGTTCACAAGTCAATGCTAACTAACTGGCGGTAAGACTATCAGTCCTCCCTGTTTAGTATCGAGGTATAATAAAAAGCCAAAACCCAGTAAGTCAAACGTGCTTAAGGCCTGTCAGTTGATCTAGGAATGGAACGTATGCAACAGATTGTGCTTGGATTCTTCAAGCAGCCCATACCTTTTGACTAGAGCAGGGAAGCTGGCTGTCAAGTCGTGGGACAAATGTCTCCTACCCCCCCCAGCAAGCAATTCTGGCCCTGTGTTGCTCTCCCCAAAATGCACCTCTTTAAGTTCTGTATGTGCAAAGATTTGCCTGTGCATATTCTTCCAAATTACGAAACACTGGAAGATGCCCTGGAGGTGACTCCATCCAGCGCCACTGGTGATTTTTGAGGAGCCTTGAAACTTTTGACCGTCCTTGAGCTGCGTGTTCTAGCTAAGAACTCTGCGACTGGACCGAATCTGTGATGCATCTTGCAAATGGAGCAAAGAGCCCCCTCTGATCCTTCGCACTGTATACAACGTGGGTTTGCAGGCACAGGTCATTACAAACGCATGTGTTCGTTTGACTGAGATCCAAAGAGAAAATTAAAGGGCATCTATGGGAACAGGCACGGGATTTTTTCCCCTCTTTGAACCTCTCTCTGCCCCCACCCTCCCATGAAGTTTCAAAAGAGGTTTGCCAAGGGGGCACCAGAGGCCACTGTTTATGGGGGGAAAGCCTAAATTCCCACTGGGGGCTTTGAATATAGGGATGCCAGCCTCCTGGTGGGACCTGGGGATCCCTCAGAATTACAGCTCATCTCCTGACTACAGAGATCAGGTCCTCTGGAGAAAATTTTGGAGGTCGGGCTCTGTGGCATTGTACCCCGCTGAGGTCCCCTGTCCTCCCCAAGCTCCACCCCCAAATCTCCATGAGTTTCCCAGCCTGGATCTGGCAATCCCCAATCCCCCAAAGGTGGCCAGAGGAGGACCTGGCAACCCTATTTGAATCGCAGATTTATTACCTGTTCCAGCCATTACATTTTTTAAATATATACATAAACACACACACATACATATACATGTAGAACGATAAGATATCAAACAGACAGACTTCCATTCACTTTACAGAATGCTACAATTTGTCCACTCTAGAAGACCTTTGAGAAGACAATAACTAGTGAAACTCCTCAGCTGCGGTCACACCCGCTAAACAATCCACTTCCAATCCGCTTTCAGTGCACTTTCCAACTGGATTCTTACTGTGTGAACTGGCAAAATCCAGTTGAAAAGTGGATTATTTAGCGTGTGTGACTGCAGCCTTCACGATTTTGAAAAGTGCCTAAGGCGCAGCAAGTCTTTCAAATCTGCCGACTGCTGCGCCGTAACAGCTTGTTTGTCGACTCGGCCCCCTGGAGAAGGGAGGTCAACAAGCCACAGTCTTCTAGCTTTTCCAAGTTGTCGACTACTTCCACGATGCTTTCAGCGGCTTCTGGTGAGACGACGGTGGTGGCGTTGGACTGGAATTTCTTCACCAGATCCCCCTGGCTTAGGGGCTTCCTCCAGTGCCCGTAGAAAGTGTCGCAGCGCTCTGTCAACACCTCCCCGTCCTTAAGGACGATCATCACTTCGCAGTAAAGGTTCTTGAAGCTGGGCTGGTTGTCGGGAGAGGGCTCCAGGTGTGTCTTTCTGAGCAGTTCGCTCAGCTCAGGCCTGGAGATGTTCTGCTGTTTGAAGGACTCCACGGAGATGTGGCCATCCAGAAGGGCCGTGCAGGCCGCAAACTGGAAGGAGTGCCGGGCTTCATGTTCTGAGGTGGGGAACGGCCTGTTTACATATTGAACGTCTGGGACTTTAAGCACGATTGTCTTGATTCGGCCGCTCGGGAGGGACTCCCTACCCGTGACCAGGTGTTTCCTTATTGCCAAGGCTGCCTCTGCCATCCAGTGGGTCCCCAGGTGAGCTGGAAAGCTCTTGAAAGCTACATCTTGCTGGTCCAAAAGCCACGTATAGGACTGCAGACTTGGTAGAGTCTGAGGTAAGTAGTCGGCATAAAAGGCGCCAAAGCCCGACTCCAGATCTAGGATCAGCTTGTTTGCTTGAAGGCCTGAGGAGGCTAAGAAGGCAGCTTCCAGACCATGCCTGCCTGCGTTGCCCATGTGGAGAGGCTTGGTTTGGGTGGCCGCGTTGGCCAATGGCGCCCCAGCGTAAGAGGCAGCGATAGCCAGGGCCTCCTTAGTCTTGAATTGGTCAAGGCCCAGGAGTTTAGCAGCAGCCGCTGCGCTTCCCAGAGTGCCAACAATGGACGGCGGGTGAAATCTGAGGGAAGGACCGAAAAGGAACAGATGGTTAGCAGCATTCTAGAAAGTTCCAGGCCTAAGAATATGAGGTCACTCTCTATTGAAATCCAGTGGAAGTTGCCCACAAAGCAGCCCCTTTATTATATTCCTTTTACCACAGCTTCCCTCTGAGGGAAGTTCAGGTGCCGCTCGTGATTTCTTTTTCTCCCAATTTTTACCTCACAGGTCGCTGTGAGGTAAGTTCAAACTGAGTGGTGGAGACTGGCCTAGTACGCTGAGTGGTTATTTGAACCAGGGATTTTTTAAAAAATGTGCAGACAGAGACCAAATGGGCAGTTCCATTTTGTGCAGTTTAGCCTGTATAAGAACTGAGTTCTTGGGGGCTCTAGATGGAACTGGTACGAGCCAAGGCCTGCTGTCCTATTTGCATCAGGGGTTTTCCTTAGACTTTTTTTTTTTTAATCCCTTATTCAAATGAAAGTTTATTGCATTCACAGTGCTTCATGTGTGAAGCTCTTCTGCAATAGTGCTGTCAGGCTTCCACTTTTGCAGGCTTCTAAATGTCATAGACTGTGTGTGCGCACGCACGTGTGTGTGTGTATGCTTTAAATCAAAAGGCTGATGTAATATAATTCATGCTTTAGTTGGGTTGCCACCCTCCAGTTGGGGCCTGGAAATTCCCATGGAATTACAACTAATCTCCACATGACAGAGATGAAGACGAGGAGGGGATTGGATTTATACCCCACTGGTCACTCAGAGTCTCAGAGCGGCTTACAAACTCCTTTCCCTTCCCCTCCCCACAACAGACACCCTGTGAGGTAGGTGGGGCTGAGAGAGCTCTGACCGAGAATTGCTCTTTCAAGAACAGCTCTGACAGAACTGTGGCTTGCCCAAGGTCATCCAGCCAGCTGCACGTGGAGAAGTGGGGAACCCCTGGAGAAAATGGCTGCTTTGGAGAGTGGACTGTATGGTAGGGTTGCCAGTTCTGGATTGCTGCACAGTGTTCCCTCTAAGCTGAGTCAGTGTGAGCCAGCTCACAGTTTTTTAGCCTCCGGCTCACACATTTTCATCTCAGCTCAGGAAGGGATGGCTCCAGAGCAAACGGATTGATGCAGTAGCGAAATCGCTCGCTCACAACTTTAACGCCAGTAGCTGACAAAGTAGAATTTTTGCTCACCAGACTCCACAGCTTAGAGGGAGCATTGGACTTGCTGGAGATTTTGGGGGTGGAGCCTGAGGAAGGTGGTGACAGACTTCAGTGGGGTGTAATGCCATAGAGTCCACCTTCCAAGGTCGTTATTTTCTACAGGTGAACTGATCAGTTGTAACAGCGGGAGGTTGGCCATCCTACTGTATGGCGTTATACTCTACTGAGGTCCCACCCACCCCCAGGCCTTGCTGACCCCGGGCTCCACCTCCAAGTCTCTAGGAATTTCCCTATCAGGAGTCGACAACCCTCTGGTTGAAGCACGAGTTACAACTGCACACCTCTGTGCAATTCCGAATTCTGCTTTTTAAAAAAACCCTGATTCAAGCCTATACCTTGCCTGTTTAAGTTCAGTATGCCAGCCCCTATCTCACACTGCTCATCTCATCAACAACTAGCATCGAGTGTCCTGAACCAGGTATGCTTATCCAGACGTCCCACTGAAACTTTCTCACACTATAGCCGATCTACAAGACTTACCCCGCAATTAAAAATACAGCCGCAGTGATTTTTACCGAATGGCTGAGCTTATGGACAGTCTTGCCCATTTTGACAAGCACTTGTCACCCTCTGATTTTACCTCTATCTGGTTCCCCATCTTAGAATATTTGGCCTCTCGACAGGAAATTCCTAAAGTAATTGATGACTTATGTTTTTGGTAAAACCTGTGCGCTAGATACTCAATCTCCGTGCAGTGATTTTTTTTTTTTTAACCAGTCTCCGGTTCTTTTATGTACTACTGTCTTTATATATATAAACTTTTATTCGTCTATATATAGAAAGGGGGAAAGGGAAAAGAAGGGGGGAAAGAATATATATATATAAACCAATTTGACATTCGGCATGCAAATCTTCTCATAAAACCGTCACAACTATTATGACCATCTTTCTTATTGTTCTTCATTTAGTCTTAGCTTCTCAGTATTTATGCTTTAACCATTCATAGGACACCCTCCATCTTGATGCTAAGTTCCATTATATGAGCTGTATAAATTTGCTGTGTATTTTTGTATTATTTTTGTAATATTTACAACATTTCAATACAATATTAATTGAGGGAGGAAAAAAAATACAACCACAATGAAAGCCATTTAAGGAAGTCCGGAACGTACAGAGCAGTCAGAGAGCCAAAACACAATCAGTAAAGAATTAAAGACCTTTCGAAACAGCTGGCCATTGGGAGGAAACTCCCCCCCCCAGAAACATCACCCAATCAATGCTCCCTCTAAGCTGTGGAGTCTTGTGACCAAAAATCATAATTTGTGAGCGACTGGCATTAAAGTTATGAGCGAGCGATTGGGCTGCTGCATACATTAGCTTGCTCTGGAGCCCTCCCTTCCTGAGCGAAGACAAAAATGTGTGAGATGGAAGCTAAAAAACTGTGAGCTAGCTCACACTAACTCAGCTTAGGGGGAACACTGCACGCAACATGCTTATGTCACCCGGAAGTGATGTGGGCACACCGTGGGTGACACTCTGGTTTTTGGGCAAAACTCTACGGTCTGAGGGTGATTTTTCCATAGAGTTTTGCCCAAAAACCAGAGTGTTGCTCCCAATGTGCCCACGTCACTTCCGGGTGACATAGGCATTGCACGTGATGTCACTTCCCATGATGTCGGCACGTTGGGGGCAATAGTTCCAGCTCCCAGAACGTCGCCACCCCACCCCCTGCCAGTGTTTCTAATGGACCTGGCAATCCTACCATTGATATAACACTGGGGGTTCCACAAAACGTTAGAATGTTTCGTTTCAAGCATCCTTGTAGGATGGAGCAGGGGTCGTTTCGTAGAAAAAGAGCTAGGGGGACTCATTAGCATAACTCATTAGCATATGCCACACCCCCTGACATCACTGGTAGTGTGTCATAAGGCCACACACCCCCTGGCCCCAGGCAGGCAGAGGTGGGGAGAGGCAGGGAGGAAGCAACTTACCCTCCCTCTTCTGCCTCCTCCTGGCTGAATGAGGGCCGGAAGCGGGGCTGCCGGAAGCAGGGGGCGGGGCTTCATCGTGTGCCCCGCCCCCCGTACCTCACCCAGGGGAACTGCGATCCCCCGTGATCCCCCCCGAAATGACCTCTGGGATGGAGGCATTTGTTTTGAAATGTGTGCTTCTTGCTGACCCAAAGGTGTTGGCCCCCGGGCTCTTTTGAAGCACCGTCTGATCAAAGGGGAGGGGAAAAGAAGCTGGGGTTGCCGGTTTACATTGGGAAAGAAGCAGTGGGGTTACCAACCTCCAGGTGGTAGCTGGAGATCTTCCCGAATCACAGCTGCTGTGCAACTAACAGAGATCAGTTCCCCCAGAGAAAATGGCTGCTTTGGAGGGTGGACTCTGTGGCACTATATCCCTCTGAGGTCTCTCCTTTCTTCAAACCCCGCCCTCCCTAGGCTCCACCCTCAAAATCTCCTGGAATTTCCCAGCCCAGAGCTGGCAACCGTAAGAAGCAAGCAGATGCCAGGAAATACATTGGTGGGCAACCTGTTGAAGATTGGTGGGGTATACCACTGCAGGTGATGGATCCAGTTTATCATTATTGATTGTGTAAAGTACTCTCTGAGTAGAGGAAACGGGCAATGACCCCTTTCTCTTTGCTTTACGATGATTATTTTCTCTTTACTTGCAAATTGAACACACAGCAATGAAAATGTTTATGATCCTCCACCCCTAGTCTGAAATGGTGCGGTCCATTCTGTCCTTTCCCTCTCATGCATGTGTGAACCCCAGGCCATTTGGGCATGATTGACATCCACGTCTGCCGGATCAGAATCCCAACATTCGGACCCTCCCTTGCTCCGAAGAGGGCAGCATTCATTTTATAATAGGGACTTTTAAAACACACGCATACCTTTTAGGGACGTCGCTGGCCTCGTTGGAAAAGTGCATCAGTCTGCCTTGTACTTCAATCCCGATGTTGAAAGCCAGAAGCAGATCAAGGCCGGAAATCTTCTTCTGTTCGGGCAGCGCTTCAGAGATTGCGAGGAGAACAGGCAACACCGCTCCGGACGGGTGTGTGGTTGGATGCCACGTGTCGTCAAAATCCATGGAGTGAACCTTTTTCGGTCAATCACAATAACAAAAATACCCTGGTGTTAAATCAGAGATTTAAGATGAGTTTGTGTTTACCTAAATCAGTTGCCTTGGATTCAGGTCTCCTCCGTTGCCTGAGTAAAAGAGGACTTCTGCTCATGGTTAAAGGGGGTAAGCGTCAGACAATTCCCCCATTCCACTGCAATGCTCTTGTGCTGCGTCCCGTGACAGTGCACTATAGTTGCACTACCGCAAATCATTGCTTGCTCACACAGGAAAACCCAGTTGCAGTGATGACTGTTGAGCAATATTTAATGACGTGCAGATGCCTGCACTGCTAACAAATGAGGACACTGAATGTATTGTTCTCTATTGTAGAGAGATTGTAGTAGAGGCATTTTCCCCCTCTGTAGTAGAGACATATTTGGTGCGTTCAGACGGGGCATTTCAGCCGGCATAAACTGTACCAGTTGGAACCGGTGCAGTTTATGCCGTCTGAAACGCGATCACACTTACCTCCTGTCTGCGGAGCCCGTCGCTGTATGCCTGTTCACACACAGCGGGCATCTGCGGTTTTTTTTTTAACATAGTTTGCTCATGCGCATAGGCAGCCATCCACAGAATGGCGATCTTCACGCATGCGCAAAACACCCCGTCTTACATTTAAAGTTTAAAGATAAGGACTTACCTTTAACGTTTAAAGAGCAAAGTGGCCTCCCTGAGGTCCCGGACGCCTCTAAAAGTTAAACGAAGGACCTTTTCTTTTCTTTTTTTAAACAAATGCTGGAGCGAAGCTTCGCCCAAGCGCATATCCCCAACCTAAAAAAAAATGGCGGGCAAAAATCGGAAGCCTCGAGCTTACCTGGGCTTCCGAACGGAAGTGGCTCTACAACGGTGGAGAGCGATCAGACGGGGGGTAAAGCGGTTACAACCGTTGCACTCAGGATACCACCACTTGGGGACCTAGTGGCAGAATACAACGGTTTAAAGCTCTTTGCAACGGTTATGGACGGAAGGTAGATGTTCTACATGTGAATGCCGGTAAGTGCGCCGATTCCAACCGGCACCTATACCGTTGCAAATGCTCCGTCTGAACGCACCCATTGTGTACCTGGACCTAGATGGCCCTGCCTAGCCCGATCACATCGGATCTCAGAAGTTAAGCAGCGTCACCCCTGGTCAGTATTTGGATGGGAGACCACCAAGGAAATCCAGTGTTGCTATGCAGAGGCAGGCAATGGCAAACCACCCTCTGAACTTCTCTTGCCTTGAAAGCCCTACAATTCAGATGTGACTTCATGGCATTTTCCACCACCACAGAGAGGTTATCTCTATACAGGGGTTATTTCGTAGAAAAAGAAGTGCAGGAGCTCATTAGCATAACTTATTAGCATAACTTAGTTGCATATGCCACACCCCCTGACATCACCAGAAGTGTGTCAGAAGGCAACACCCAAA